GTGACAGATGAACGGAGCTGAGTGTTAATGAGTCCATCTGCCACATCAGAAGGTTCTGGTCCTACATGAGACCCATTTTTAATAATGCCATCAAGTTTTCAGTTCAGAAGATACAAGTACACCACCTGTGGCCCAGAGCGCCCCGCTGATCATCGCCAAAGGGTAGAATTTGGGAGATTGAAGTATCACGTCCCCAATCTTTGACACAACCCACACGGCGGCACAGAACACCCACTGAAAAAACATCCCTACGAAGACAGCAGATTAGAGTTGTATTTCAGTGCACTGTGTTCTTTTTGTTGAAAGAATTAGACTCATACAAAACCCTGGAGTACAAACCATCGCCCATCTCTATCTTTTTGACAGGGACAAAGGTGCTTCCGTATAAGACAATAGCAACAACATTTGCAGAAATCGCGTAAACAAAGTCAGTCATATTGGTTGAGTTAAAGTTTAAGTCAATCGTTTCCACTGCAGCATGGTGGAGAACTGTGGCACCTGGAAAAGGAACACAAAAACACAATACCGAAAGGTTCATCTATATTTTCTCATTGTTGTAAATTAAATTAAAAAACAGAAGGAGGACATACCTGGTTGAACTGAGTGTGCACAGCTGTGATATCCCAACAACAACACTGAGGCAACAACTAAAAGCCAACTTCTGCATTCTCCTCGGAGCATGTTAAAACTAAATTGTTTTCTTACTGTGCTGCAGCCACAGTTGGATTTGAGTGTTATACCCACACTGTACTTGTGTTCACTTGTGTGTGTGTGTGTGTGTGTAGGTAAATGTATGAGAGCCTGCAGAGGGAGGGGAGCAATTCAGGTGATGCCAATTATCCAATCACTCAGTGTGAGACTCCAGCACGCCAGGAAAAACACACAGAGGCTTCTCTGCTGCCACTGTTGGCCTGAACCATACTAACAGATGTTTTATTTTTTAATACATTTTATTACCTTTACCTGCATTGAGTCAGGTCAAGAAAATGCATCAAATCTTATAATAAAAAGAATTGTATTTTTTTCCCTATATGTTATAGCATATCTCACACCTGTGTCTTTTACACTTTGTTCAGTTAGCAGATGGTGAAAACAAAAAAAACAAGCAAAGTAAAGAGATTACAACACCACATTCTTTAAAAAATATTTTAGAAAATAATGTTGGAGTGGAATTTTTGCCCCCTTTTTAAAATGTACTTTTAGCAGCTGCTCAACATTCAACGGTACAATGCTGCAGTGTGTCATGACTATGAAGAAACAATAACAGCTCTAATGGTGGGTAGCCATTCTGGTACATTTGCACCTTTTCCTCTTAATAGAGTGCACTGCAGCTCCATATCCATCCATATGAAATATTCCTAAGCATGTGATTGCACAACAGGTCTTACAGATATCTTTAATGAAAGGACTTATTTATTTACCAAGAGCTCTTCTTTTTTTCTTCTCCAGCCGCACAGCTGGGTTGACATTAGTCATCCAGGTTTCACAACAGTGTGACAAACTCTAACGGCTGAACATAAAGATGACAAAAGACGCAGTAAACAGTGGTGGAGATTCCCATCTTCTCTGACCCCGTTGGCAGAGAAATTCCAATTCCAGTGTTCCTGCAACAACAAAAGAAAATCACACAGTGTGAAATTTGTGATGATAATTGAAGCATCTGTCAGTCGATCTGCTGGGACTCCCCAGGGATCTGTCCTCGTTATTGGAAGTGCATTTTATGTCTAAATTTGCAGTTGTCTTTTGCTGAAACAAAGCAACGTCTCCCTAAGTTTTATTTACGTTGATAGATTTTTCGCTAAGGCTAATTATGATAAATTTTGATGCTACTTTTGATTTTTTTTTTTCTTTAGCTCTAATCTTGGCTTACTATTAGCTGTATTTGCTTTGTCCTGCTATTGATGAGATACTTCCTGGTTGACCTTGATTCATGTTTGTTTCATTTTTGCTTTTCATCCTTTCATTGATTTATTTTTGTTTTATTAAATTTCAATATAATCTCTCTGGAGTCCAGATGTGCGAGTCTTTGTCTACTTTCTATGTATCTAAGCCAGTGTATTTGCTATCGTTAAGCAATATATGAACTAACTCACATTTTATTGTCCTGAGCGAACAAATCGCTTTAGTACATCTTTTCACTTTACATTTCATTTAACTTTTTTGGCTAAGAAATAAAAATTCAACACCCATTCAGGATGACAATTCTCTTGTTGACCACAGAGAGTAACAATGGGCCTATATTTAACACACTTTACGGTCAGGAAATCCTGTAAAATTAGTCACTGGTGTCATCATTTCCTTAGTACAAGTGTCTCCTTGAACCACATTATACTCTGAGAAGATATTTGTAGGTAGAGGAGGGGGATGGACGAAAAGGGACAGGAACAGTGTGGTCAGGCTGGTGAGAGGTGACAGCTCAGTCCTAGACTGTCCTCTGGACCTCACACAGGAAATAGGTGAAGGTGGACAACTCCTCTCACCCTGCGGATGACACCGTGGCTGCAATGAGCAGCTCCTTTAGCAGCAGGCGTCATCGACTGTACATCACCAGCACAGTGTTAAACTCTCTCTCGCTCTCTCTTTCTCTCTCTCCCACATACACACACTCACATGAAAGCCCCCCTACCTCTCCTCCACTCCCTCACAATCCATCTTATGACACACACACACTGAGCGAAAAAGTGCATTATCTTCTTCTTCTGTGCAATGACTCAAAAACACCTTCAGATTATGGCATTTATTTTCTTTTGTAAATATGAAAGGTATACATGGCCTCAAAAGTGTTAGTATTTGAGTGTTTTTATATATCTTGGCTGTTTTAATGTGCAATATCATTCACTTCTTTATGTGCAATCACTGGTTTATTACTTACTTTTATACTTTTATACTATACTTTTATACTAATAATGTAGATCTGCAAACCGAGCAGTAAAAATAATTAAAAAAAAGAAAAGCCGCTTTTTCTAAAAACTTTAGCACTATGCTATACTTTACTTCCCTATATTTTGCAATGTACTCTGCTGCTGTAAACACTGTAAATTTCAACCCACCGTGGGACGAATAAAGGACTTCTTATTTGATCCTACCTGCATTGTAATTTTACCACAATATTTTACTTTTTTCCCATTTTTTATCGTACAGTCTATTCTACTATTGTCCTTTTGTTGCTGCAACACAATGATTTCGACTGGGTGGGGTCAAGAAAGGTTTTATAAAATTCTATTCTGTTCTATTCTGCCTGTCACAATGGGCTCTTTATACTGTAATTTTGAATTGTTAAACTTGGCCAGCAGATGTCGCCTAAAACGTATGATGATTCAACTGTTCATAGAGAAGAACAAGTGACGTCTCACCTTAGTTTTGTTTAACTTGTGCATTTACTCTTTGATAACATCATGCCCTATGGAACACAACATACAGTATATATATATATATATATATATATATATATATATATAATATATATACATATATACAGTATATATATATATATACAGTATATGTGTAAAAAAACAAAAGTTATTTTTTATTTCCCAGTGTCGCAGGCTGTAGTGAGTCATGTGTCTTCTTTCTCCACTCTATCCTTTCAGATATTTCATATCTGACAGCAGACAAAGCGGACTTGTGAGTGTTCAGATTTCCTGCTGGAGGAGGGGGTTTCCCCGGTGTCTCCATCCATTTGCGCTTTTGCCTCCGTGGCCTGTGTAGCCACAAATCCTCCCCTGACTTTCGGAAGTTGTGCGCTCCTCCCTGGTCTGACTTTGGCTCACAGAAGACACTCAACCATGAAAAAAACTTCTGGTTTCAAATGGGGAAGCCTCGCTTACACAGGCTGTGCTTCTCTATCCTAAGACTGAGCAGCAGCTTTTGGAGGTGCCCTCTTTCCAAAAGGACACTGATTATCGCCACTGTATGTTTGTTCTACTTGTTTTTTGTGGTTCTGTACGTGGGACACTCCAAGCAGCAACGGGACAGAAGGACTGACCTGCACAAGTACGGACACACCCGTGGACTGGACACCAACGTGGCCCTTCTGAACTCTGCGGACACATTGACCGACACCAACACTGTGGTTCCGACCCGGTCCAACGTGGTGTACATAACACTCAGATCCAAACGCATGAAACCGTCAAACATTCGGGGAACAGTCAGACCGAAACTTAGGAAGAAAGTGAGGAATAATGGAATACCGACGCCAGCTTTTACGCACGAGAAATTTCGCACTTTGGAGCGAGACGCAGGACAAATCCAAGGTAACTCTGCACCAAGGAGAGCCGAAGAGGAAAGCAGGGATATAGACTATAAACCTGTAGACAACAATGGAGCGGGATGGTCCAAGGTCAGCTCCATCCGAATATACAGCCAACGTGCGCCGCACTGGTTCAGTGCACAGGACGTGAAAGCCATGCGTTATCTTGCCGACGGCAAAATTCTGCGCCTCAGAGAAGTTTACCGGGAGAACTCTCCATCACTGTTGATGTTTGAGGGCGAGGCCAGTGACTCTCTGAGCAGTAACAACCACAGTGTGTGTACAGGCCAGTGTGGAGTCATCCACAGCCCAGTGGACACCACTCAGGTCTTTGCCTTCCATCTGGACAGGGTGTTGGGACTGAACAGAACTTTACCAGCTGTGAGCAGGAAATTCAGATTCATACATGGTAGGTCAGCAGTGATGTCACTGATCACAGCTCTGTGGTAAAGGTGTGTACAGTAGGGCCCGAGTGTAGCTGCTGTTCAGGGGCGTTCAAAATCATATTTTCACGATCATTAACCTAAAGATCCATCCATCCATCCATTTTCATCTGCTTATCCATTACCGGGTCACGGGGGCAGCAGTTGCCACCCAAATCACACTGCATCGTACCAACCCCCCTAAACCTTCCTGCGGGTGGTGAGTCCACAGGAATACCTAAAGATGAAATAATAAATTCTTTTTAAAACTGTGTGTAGGAGCATTTGTAGAAAGTTATCTGAGGAAAACATTTTTATCCTATTTCCATTCAATGATTTCCATTAAGTGAAAATCTTTGCAGTGGATCTAAATAATCTCTTCATATCTCTTCAGTACAATCAGAGCCATGCGTATACGGAGGCAGACTGAATATTGAATTGAATCCAGATGGTGTCTGTGCACATCTAAATGGTTAGAACACATTTGAATAAGTACAGTAACATCAATAATAAACCTTAATACAAATACCATCCTCACCACTGGTTATTTGCTGCAAGCAGTGGAGGAATGCAACATTGATTTACTATAAAGTATACCACAATATGCATTTTTTAAATAATCTTTGGAGTGGTGTACATTAGGAAGAAAGTTATGAAGGATACTGAGGTATTTTTAATTACTAAGGTAACTTCGTTTTCTCCCTATAGGATGTTCCAAGTTCATTAAATAAACGATGTTATGTTGCAGCACGGCTTTTTATCTGAGAGTGTGAAACAGGCCGGAGACAAGTTACAGCAGATTTATCAGAGCCATGGTTTTTGTAGCTGTTGAGCAAAACAGACACTTAACTAGATTTGACTGTGTCCGAGTTTTCTTTATCAAAGAATGTTACACTCAGGGCAACGCTGAAGAAACAACTTTTGACTGATAAATGGTATGTTAGAGAATCGGTGGGCCGCCAGTTGATAATCATTGCAATTTACTGACTGCCATAGTGACCTTATAGCAGGTGATCTCAAGTTTAATTATTTTATTGTTTTATTAGACAATGTTTCTACTCAAATTTATTGTCTTCCAATGTGCTTACGTTGTTTTTTTAAACAAACTGCACCAGGCCTTGATGAAAACAGTGTTTTTTATTATTAGCTGTTCAACAATATGGCCCACTGATTCCTAACAGTTCATTGTGCCATGCGCTGTGCTAATCCTTTCCACACTGTAATAAAGCAGACTTTAGTCATGTGAAAATAAGAATAGATCAGCAAAGTACAGATCCAAAGATGAAATGAACAGATGGAGTTGTGCAGTGTGATTTCAACTCATTAGATGCAGTGGCACATAGTTTGAAGACTTGAGCATTGATAATCCAAGGATAATCCACTTAGAGCTGCACAGGAAGACTATCTCCTTAAAATCTCATTAGCAATAGTGTTATTTTTTTTTCTTCTTTTCTCTCATATCGTCAACCCCAGGGAGACTGTTTCAAGGTCAGATTTAATAAAAACCATGCTTGAATGCCCACAAAATAAATCCTTGTAAAGTGAACATATTTGGTTGTGAAACAATTTAAATATACTGTGCAAAAGTCTTGGATCAGCACTAGAAGAGTGCATCTAGTTAAAAGAAACATCTTTATGTTTTACTCGTCTTCTTTTCTCTTCAGTTGCAGTCTCAAAATAGAAAAAGAAACTTCTATTATTCCATCTTTTACTGTGTCTTGTCAAAAGAAGACAACTAAATTATAGAATTTCAAAAAAACAATTTTCAAAGTCTCTCTCCGCCTTTGCCCTTCACTGAGTTTCAAAACTTCTTTGTAACAATGTTTTGTTAATAACACGTCTGACAGTTTAACCTGCAGAGACCTCTCATTCTCTTTTCTAAAAACACAATGATTCCAGATTTATTCTCACGAATAGTCAACATTTCTAATACAACATGATTACTGGCCCAAGACCTTTTGTACAGAAATCCAGCTCAGTGAGTTATCAACTCTTTCACTGCACGAGTTTAAAGGTCCAGTGTCGTTCTGATAAACAAAAACAAAAAGAAGGAAAAGTCACAGTTAATGGTGAGACTACATCAAACCAAGGACGTCCATGCTCACCCTTCCCCTCCAGGGCATGGAGCTGGCCTTCACATACCAAATATTGTGTAAACATTCTTTTACTTCACTCCCACTCTCTCTGCTCTTTCTTTTAAATGTTTTATTGGTGGAGGTAATTCATCTGTTTTTACACAAATTTTAAATTCACAGACTGTATACTTTAAGAAAGTCATTTCCAAAAGCTTTGCTTGGGTTCATAAAATATAATAATATATTTTTTTTATTATTACGACACAATAATTTGTAGGGAGTTCTCTGAAAGAGACACACTGAATGAAGATGAATCAAAAAGACTCTGGTGATTTGTTGATATAATAATATTTAATAGCTGTAAGAAGTTGTATTAGAGAGAATTAAAGCAAATCTGTGTTGATTTTGACAATTTCACACAACGTTTAATTTAAGCATAATTTCTATGTTCAATGTTCAAAGTGACTTGTAGTTATAGTGAAATCAATGTTGTAGTTTGACTGTAGATGAAATCACTGCCCTGTACAATGTGTGAAACTGCAAATGCCACTGAGGCCATCGCTCAGTCAGCTTTTCTTGGATAAAAATAACTTTTCCATAGGACTAGGCAGTTGTTGAAACCTGACATGGAGTCTCCTCATTCCTCCCTCTTTAGACGGCCAGCCGTGTCCAGTGGTGTTATGGGATGCAATTCTTTACCCAGAGGGCCTTGCTGCAGATGGGGCCAAAGTGAGGTTAACGTGGGGCGGCTACCAGAGAGCACTGAAACAAAAGTGCTGGGATAAAAACATCAGCCCCAAGTTGGACTCTGGCTGTTCCACCATCCATCACTGGGAGTGGAGCAGAGTGGCGCTCTTTGACTTCTTGTTACAGGTAACAAAGTCTGTCAAGGGGACTTTATCTGTGATTAAAATTCTCCCTCTGCAACTTTTCACTTTCGTGTCTGTGTTTTGCTAACATTTTCCACAAACTGTTTCTCAAGAAGAAATACTTCAATATCCCCAGAGACTTCCCTCTTGGCTGTAGAAAGGCCTTGTTTCCTGTGTAGGAGGACCTGCAAAGCTATTGCATTAAGGACACACAACAGCGCTGATGCTTACACTGATTATAATAACAGGTTTTTGCAGAACAATATGATGAGCACCATATATAATGATTCGATATTGTGCTACTGATTCTAAAGTAGCTGAATCAAACTCAGTCCTAGATATTTGAATATTTACACAAAGGTCATTTTCTAACCTCAATTTAACTTCACTCAACAAAAAGCAGAGGCTTTAAATGCAGATTCCACCGAGGTTCCTGCTTTGTTGTGGAACAAACAGTGTTTAACAGTAGTTGTCTTCAACAGGGTCAAAGGGTAGATTGAATTGAATAATTCAAAAATATGCAAGGGTCACAGGGCAGCAGAGTTGTCAACGCTCTTCTCCCACAGCAACAAGACGACCTCAGATCAGCCGTCCGGTTCTCCTCTGTGTGTGTGTGTGTGTGTGTGTGTGGCTTTACTCGGGGGAGTCGGGTTTCCTCATCAATAAAGCATTGGACACTTTAAATTCCATAGGAAGGTGAGGCTATGTCGTTGTCCATGCACTTTATACTAATTATACATGGGCGTTTGATTGACAGGTGAACTGTCCAGGGAGTTACCTGCCATTGATAGATGTCCAGCCCTTGTCAGGTGTCTAACAGTTTTGAAAAACGCATTTTTTTGCATTACGAGTTAATAAAGCTACTGATGCTAAAGTAGCTGAGTCAAACTAAAAAAAAAAAAAAGTTTCTTCTTGCTTGGCAGCTTTGTCTTCAACACCCTTTGTTGACTATGTCCAGTGCTGTACCCCACCATCTCAACCACACCTCTATATCTTCCGCCTGTTTTTAACATTTCTAAGTTATACATCATAGCAGGTCTCACTACTCCTTTACGCTTTTTTCTTCTGAACAATCTCAAAATAAATTGCTATTTGTATCCAATGACCGTCAGCGACTGTTGTGTTTATAGTAAGAAATCCTCCACTGGTAGTAATTACTGTGCTGTTTCACAGATGGATTTAAATGCACAGGAGTTGTGTGTAGCAAAATGCACAATTTTTATTTAGAGCTGAACTTTACCTTGAACTTTAATTTCTTATTTTAGAGGAACATATAACCTGTCCAGGAGCCACAGATTAGCCTTAGGCTGAACTTTGTACATGGCTCATAAAATGTCTCTGCTTTTAGGTCAATTCTATAAAAACCTGTTTTTATTAGTGGATATAAACACTGGTGAGATCATTGTTCTGAAGCATTGGTTTTTAATTTTTCTTTTTATTTAAGGTCTCTCAAATATATTATCATAAAGGAAAAATATTAACCATCATAGATACAGTTTATTGAAACAATTAATCTTTCTGGACAGACACCTGTAGATATTATTTCATGTTTATTTTGGAATACAGTGGCAGGCTGGGGTAAATGGTTGATGATTGCTGGCCAATATTAAACTATTCAAAAGACAAATGCTTAAAATAAAATCACTTTTAATTAGTAGCTCAAACCTTCCCCAGAAAAAAGGAGAATTAAAGGAAACCCTATAATTGAAAAGAATTTTCTTTGACTTCTCACAAAGACTCTGATTTCAGATTCACAACCGCTTGGATCCCAGCTGCTGTGGGTTCAGGCCGCGGCACGAGGACCAGTGCGTGGTACTGGGCCGCCACGCTGACTGTGGAGACCAGGACTCCATACAACTAACAAACATCATCCACAAGACCAACAACCCCCGGCGGCTGGTCTTCACCCACAATAAGGGTTTCTTTGATCGCAACGAGGACAACTTGGACTTCAGGCTGCTGGAGGGAATCACAGAGTAAGTTTGGATGAGATAATTAGTTTCTATTCTCAATAATTTGACACATACGTAAATACATTTCGAATTTATATTTGGATTGCGTTGCCACATTTAAAATTTAATCTGCAAACAAATTAAACATCAAATGACGGCGGGGCACAAGCTGCATAGTGATAATGGGTTTGCTGGTGATTTCCCCAGTTCATTTGCAGGAGGATTTGCAGTTTGAAAGTACACATCAAAAAGGCACCGCTTTCATTCCATCCCTGTTTTGATCAATAAAGCAGCGAGTCATTTCACTCGGGAACCAGACAGTGTGGTTTGGCACAAATGCCCGTGTGTGTCTTCTCTGAAAATCCCTGTGAACCTCATCAAAAAAAAAAAAAGCAGCTTTTATTCCTGCTTTTAAAGCCACACAGAAGAGCAACAGTACGAATGAAAGTAAATTAAATGCAACACCTATCAAATCAAACTACGCTCCCAGAACACAGGCTGTCACTGTGACCTGATATCGTTTTCATCTCCGGATTTTTCGGATTCTAACATCACACAAAGAAGACGAATAAAACGATGTCTGGCACTTTATTACAGGTGTCATTTTAGTTTATGCTCTGTTTTTTTTCTGAAGAAATAAATACCCCCCAAAAAAACCCAGCCACAAAAACATTTTTGAACAAATTCTGCTATAAAGTTATACCTTTTTTATTTTGAGTAATTTCTAAAGGGAAAACTTTAGCTTCTGAAGTAAAAAAAAAATCTGTTACATTTTATGACAAACTGATCTGGTTTTTATCCTTTACAATCAGTTATTAAAATTATTTCATATGCCAAGTGGAATTTTCCCACTTGGAAGCTGAAAAGAACTACAAACAGTAAAGTTTAGTTACTTACTTTCCCAATCTTTTAGCTTACTGTTAATCAAAACTGCTTTTTCAAACAAAAAAATTTCAATATTTTGTCAATCTTCTTCTCAAGCTAACTTTTAGACATTTCCAGGGTGACCACTGACCCTTTGTCTAGCCTTGGTTTTACTTTTTTTTTAGAGGTAAAACAGCAGTCACAGCCAAGTGACCACACTTTTTGTTGTAAACACCTCAGTACCAAAGAGGACAAAAACACATTTGTAAAATAAAAAAAAATAAAAATATATATATTTATATAAAATCAGTCTCTTTGCATGTTGTTCACATACAGATTCTCTCTGATTTGAGGAGAAAGTGGTTAAATCATCAGTCAAACCACTGACAATAATACCCAGGTGCAGTGCTCTTTCACCGTCCAGCTGCCTGCTGTGCTCCAATTCTGTTGTCCTAGATTCCACGCCCCTGCTGTAATCGCCTGCATGACAGCAGCCTGAAAGCTTGTGTTTGAGGGTTTGAACTGTCTGTGATAACGACCTTCAGACAGACCGTATGTAGTTACTGTGAGATGGCCTCTCGTCACATGGACTCTGGTCTCTCCTCAGGAGTCCAGATGAGGGTCTAGGCTGTCGTGAGAAGCACTTTACTTTATAAAAGCACTGATGTCACACTGCGATTTAATAAGGACCAGCTACAATTGCAGACAGGCTTAATGTGCAAAAGGCTAGAGAAAAAAACGAAACAAAAAACTGTTTTGGCTGCAAGTTTGACGCACACTTCAATTTCTCACACCTTAGAAAAAAATATATATACTGTATATATATCCAGTAGTTATTTAATAAATAAGATGTCTACTTTTAATGCTACATTATACAAAGGAAATGTTTGCTCCCACTTGTAAATATGGGAAATGTACATCCCACTTCACATTCAAAGCCCACATCACTTTTTTCTGTGCACTCTAGTGGTACCGGGCACACTAAACACACCAAAACAGTTTTTTTTTCTAATCCTGACATGACGCTGCCCCGTGAGCCCACCACTGTTTATATCATCGTCTTCTGTGAAAGATTGTTGCTGTGACAAATCCTGGTTATGTCTACTAGTGCGTCCAGATCGTGAGCTAATGTATTATTTTTTAGTGATGTCCATTTGGGTATTTTTGTTGCACAGACTCCACAAAAAATGCTTTTAAAACCAGACCGTTGAGACTATGGTCCTGCAGCTACACAATGCTAAACAACCACAAGTATAAACACCTGTAAACTTGTATGCTCTTGTGGAATGGTTGTGTCCTCCTGAGAAATAAATCAGACTATAACTGAACAATTCAGTGGTCAACAACACATCCTGTCATTTTCTGAAACAAATGCATTCACGTGGATACAGCTGTGTTGACTCTTCTTTGATTTTCTTTATGTAAACCTATGGTTTTGGCCACTTGCAAATTTGTAAGGAACATTTTTCCAAAACTGGTTTGGATGGAATTTCTGTTGGGGTTACTATTCCTAGTGAATCCAATTTAAAACATGAATAGATTTAGATTCAGATTTTTAAACGTGAATTCTTGTTCAACTTCTTCAAGTGTTAGATTTGTGTTAAAGTCTGAAATTGCATCATGTGTTTCATTTTTTTTTTCCTTTTTGGTGGTTTTACATGTCTATAGCTGGGTTGAAATTTCTCTTAGTTTTCTTGAAGTTTGGTCTTCAGCCATTTTCTCATTATCTCCTGGCCTCAAAACAACCAGGATGAAGAGATTCTCCTGCTTCTGTTTTTAATCTTGACACGTTGCCTTGAAAACGTAGCAGGCTATCACTTCACCTGCTGAGGGCCAAACAGATTACTTTTGCTCCCCGCAGGCAGGAGCACCTTGTCCTGAAATGTACCTACAACTAAAACTCTTTTTCTTTTTTTTTATTTCCCCTACACTTCTGTGTCTGCCCAGGCTTCCAGAGCAGGCAGTGTCAGTGTTGAGGAGCGGAAAGTTGAGGGAGAAACTCCTCCAGTCTCTCTTCTTGGACCAAACATACTGGGAAAGTCAGGGCGGCCGACACGGCATCGACAAGCTGATCGATGTCATTGAGGGGAGGGTGAGGGTTCTTCTTACCTACATCAATGCCCACGGCATCAAAGTCATCACCATGACTCTTTGATGTGGTTTGTGCCTCATATGTAACGGTTCCATGCCTGCTACGTTCTGTCATCAAGCACACTGGAGGCCCTTTATGTTAATTTATAATTCTTTAACATGAGCTGGACTACGACTGTGAGAGCACGGGCTGACAGGTTGACGTGGACATAATAATGAGGGCTTTAAAGAAAAAGAAAAGTGTGAAATGAAAAGATTAATAAATGAGAATCAGCTTTAGTGGGCAAGCAATAACTCACATCCCACTAATCTTTTGAAATAAGGCCCTTTATGTTAATTTATAATTCTTTAACATGAGCTGGACTACGACTGTGAGAGCACGGGCTGACAGGTTGACGTGGACATAATAATGAGGGCTTTAAAGAAAAAGAAAAGTGTGAAATGAAAAGATTAATAAATGAGAATTACTCACATCCCACTAATCTTTTGAAATAGACTTAGACAATACAGGGGTCGTCCGTTCAAAATGTCCTATTGAGCTATTGCGTTCTGTGGTTACGTCATTTCCCATACATTTACTAAGAAAGTCACTCCATCATTCCGACATATGGCTCTAAAAACAAAGCTGAGATATAAGTTGTGACACAAAGGAAAGACATTCGCTGGTTGAACACCATACATGGGATACATTATGGTTCCCAACACCATTTGAAGACAGTGAGAGAACACAATGCCTGTTATCCTAATCACTTCAGTGCAGTATAGATGATAAATAACAGATCATTTAAGTGAAAAGAGGAATGAAGATCATGAATCTCCAGTTTCGATTCAACAACACCAGCATCAACCCGTACACGCTGTCTCCTGTTACTGACATGACTTACTGTCAGTTTTCTTTACTCCTCTTTAAAAAGTTAAGTACTGTGTTGGAAGAAGACCTTAAACTGAGACGGTATACCTCGTTGAATGCTGTCTCATTTGGGTAAAATATAAATACTGAAACCCTAAAAAAAAACCTTAGAACACAACAGGTCATCTCATCTGTGCAGAAAAATGATATTTTCTTTTCTGTCAAGTCCAACCCTGTGTGGCTTCCTGTTGATATTTAGCTCCTGGTTTTCAGGATAATTTAGATAAGCACAGAACTAAAGCCTGAGGAAATGCAACATCTGAACGGAAAATACACTCATAAAATGTGAACTGATTAGCATACAGAAAAAGAAAACAGTTAAGGGCTGTAAATTCTTCAGATAAACTAAGTGAGAAGCAGATGGTCATAGACCCAATTATTACGTATTAGTTGGATGATTATTGTAATAAAATTGCATAAATAATACATTTATAAAGTTTTACATTAACATTGATTGATTTGTTTAATAAATAATTAAACACATACATGTATAAAGCAGATTTAGGTATGACCGTCCTCACGACGCTGTTAAGTGAAGCATTTAAATTGTAAATAGACAGACAGAACTACAGGATAATTCACTGACATCGGTAACACTGAATGAAATTCAATTTCAGTAACTGTCTATGTTGTGTTCAGACCTATAATATGTTGTGGAGTTGGGATTTCTCTGCAAACGTGCCGACCTAACACTGTCACCTAGAGGATCATTGGATGCAAAAGCACAAACGTGTGATTTTTCCTGTTAAGTTAAATACACAACATTCAACACATTTCATCATCTACTCATTTAAAACTAAGCAGAAAGTGATCAAGTAACTTTGCTTTTCTTTTTACACACTGCACCTTTAACACTGTCACCCTGTGGTTTTAGACTGGGCTCTTCTCTTCTAAATGCACTACTAATTCCAGTGTTACTGCTACTGCCTGTTGCCTTCCATTTTCCTGTTGGATTAATTTATTTTTTGTAC